ACTATCCCCACTTCACAAATACTGCCCCAAGTGTCTTTTGAGTTGACAAGATGAGTATTCACGATGTGTATCTTAGCAAGGCTGCTCAAAAGGGCACATATGCCCTGCTTCAGCTAGCCAAACTAATCTTTGTGGGAAGATGTAGAGGAGGTAAACTTCTGTGCCAGATTTATAGGTAAATAAACACGTCCTCAGTCAGCATGTCCCTTACAGAACCTCACTTTCATCATGGTATGACTGAAAGTCTCCATTTATATAGCCAGTTCTCCAGCCCTATGTGCTTTCATGGCCAAAGCATCTTCAATGGCTTGTATCTACTATCTCAGAGGTCTGCATCAGTGTGTGTTTTTGGGAAACTGTAACTCTTCTTCACCATTTTCTCCAGGCCATCATGTTATTTAACATGGCCAGAATAGTTCAGCTTTCGGGACAGGATGCTGTTTATAAGCCAGTTCTCCTCGATGTTCAGATCTTGCAGGATGTTGGTGTTTCTTCTTCTCTGTCTGTGGTGTTCTAAGAATTGTTGTCAGATGTAAAGGTAGAGTCGTCATATACATACTGCCACTTATTGCCACCTGCCGGTCAAGTCATTTGTTTTTCACCCTCTGAAGGCTCTGGCTTCATTTCATGGATGTGTCATTCAGTTCACAGGGGCTTCATTTCATTGATGTGTCAGTCAGTTCACAGGGGCTTCATTCCATTCAATGTGTCATTCAGTTTACAGGGGCTTCATTTCATGGATGTGTCAATCAGCTCACAGGTGCACTTTTTACAGAAATCCGTGAGGATTGCAGTTGGAGCTACAGAGTTTGTGATTCATGCTATTCTTTTTGCAAGCAGCTAGCTGTTGGGCAGATAGAGACAAATCTATAGACGATAAAACTTTGTGCAGTAATGCAGATCCTCAAGACTTAAGCTTGGCTTGTATGAGTGTGAGGTGTTCTATTTGTGTGTTCCATTGGAATATAGAAATGTCTTGAGGCCTTAAAGATGTGGTTTAACACAACAATCCTTAGAATTCAGTGGACTGCCAAAAAAAAAAGCAGCCCAGGTGTTTGAAGAAGGTGAGAACTCAAAGACAACTTATCACAAACATCAGAAAGAGACATCATTTTTTTTGGTCATCTTGTGAGAAGAAAGAAACTGGAACGTGTTGTGAAAACTGGGAAAGATCTGGGGAAATAGAGACAGAGGAAGACAATGCGTGAAGATTCTTGACAGCCTTTTGTCATGGCAAGGAGGGTTTTTACCACATGAACTTTATACATGCTGTTGAAGATATCAGGTTGTGGAGAGGCATGATCGCCCACGCCAGTCGGCAAGGCGCTTGAGGATGATAATGATGGAGTAAAGGGTCTCAGGTAACTCACACCAAGCCTTCACATCTTATGCTATCTCCTGCACTTCCCTCCATGTCTTCCCCATTATGTTTCACATAAGTCCCTGCTTCAGTTTTCAAATGTGTTTTCAAGTCTCCCTCATTTGTCCTCTGGGTTCCAGTAGAAAGACATTCAAGTTATGTTAATATCAGGCAGCACCAGCATCTTTTCTCTGCCTCTTGTTTCACTGGAAGAAGAAATAATGGCATAAAAATATAGGCCATGTACAAACATCAAAAAGAGAACCCCTGAAAGTTGGGTAGTTTCTGTTGAGTAAATATGCTTTACCTCTCCCTCTGTTTGCTAGGCTAAAATAGAGAAGCCTAGGCTTGTTCAAATCAAACTGTGGGCATATATCTTCTTCATTTGTCTTGTAACAACTTGTGGGTATGTCAGTTTGTCTAGCAGTTAATTGGGGCTGTTTTTCTTTGTTTATTTTGCACAGGTGACAGCTTGGGTGATTAGAAAGTGTGAAACATGTATTTATGAATTTTAGTGAGGTGTTTCCTGCGAAATTGTGGAGAAAAGATAACACAGGGTCAAGGGATAAGATAATTGGTAGTCAAGGGATGAGATAATTGGTAGTCAAGGGATGAGATAATTGGTGGTCAAGGGATGAGATAATTGGTAGTCAAGGGATGAGATAATTGGTAGTCAAGGGATGAGATAATTGGTGGTCAAGGGATGAGATAATTGGTGGTCAAGGTATAAGTTAATTGGTAGTCAAGGGATGAAATAATTGGTAGTCATTGGTAGTGGGCATATATCTTCTTCATTTGTCTTGTAACAACTTGTGGGTATGTCGGTTTGTCTAGCAGTTAATTGGGGCTGTTTTCTTTGTTTATTTTGCACAGGTGACAGCTTGGGTGATTAGAAAGTGTGAAACATGTATTTATGAATTTTAGTGAGGTGTTTCCTGCGAAATTGTGGAGAAAAGATAACACAGGGTCAAGGGATAAGATAATTAGTAGTCAAGGGATGAGATAATTGGTGGTCAAGGGATGAGATAATTGGTAGTCAAGGGATGAGATAATTGGTAATCAAGGGATGAAATAATTGGTAGTCAAGGAATGAGATAATTGGTAGTCAAAGGAAAGGGATAATTGGTGGTCAAGGGATGAGATAATTGGTGGTCAAGGGATGAGATCATTGGTGGTCAAAGGATGAGATAATTGGTGCTCAAGGGATGGGATAATTGGTAGTCAAGGGATGAGATAATTGGTAGTCAAGGGATGAGATAATTGGTAGTCAAGGGATGAGATAATTGGTAGTCAAGGGATGGGATAATTGGTAGTCAAGGGATGAGATAATTGGTAGTCAAGGGATGGGATAATTGGTAGTCAAGGGATGGGATAATTGGTAGTTAAGGGATGAGATAATTGGTAGTCAAGGGATGAGATAATTGGTAGTCAAGGGATGAGATAATTGGTAGTCAAGGGATGAGATAATTGGTAGTCAAAGGAAAGGGATAATTGGTGGTCAAGGGATGAGATAATTGGTGGTCAAGGGATGAGATAATTGGTGGTCAAGGGAAGAGATAATTGGTAGTCAAGGGATGAGATAATTTGTAGTCAAGGGATGAGATAATTGGTAGTCAAGGGTTGAGATAATTGGTGGTCAAGGGATGGGATAATTGGTGGTCAAGGCATGGGATAATTTGTGGTCAAGGGATGGGATAATTGGTAGTCAAAGGAAAGGGATAATTGGTGGTCAAGGGATGAGATAATTGGTGGTCAAGGGATGAGATAATTGGTGGTCAAGGGAAGAGATAATTGGTAGTCAAGGGATGAGATAATTTGTAGTCAAGGGATGAGATAATTGGTAGTCAAGGGTTGAGATAATTGGTGGTCAAGGGATGAGATAATTGGTAGTTAAGAGATGGGATAATTGGTAGTCAAGGGATGAGATAATTGGTGGTCAAGGGATAAGTTAATTGGTGGTCAAGGGATGGGATAATTGGTGGTCAAGGGATAAGTTTATTGGTGGTCAAGGGATGAGATAATTGGTGTTCAAGGGATAAGTTGATTGGTGGTTAAGGGATGAGATCATTGGTGGTCAAACGATGGGATAATTGGTGGTCAAGTGATGGGTTAATTGGTGGTCAAGGGATGAGATAATTGGTGGTTAAGGGATGGGATAATTGGTGGTCAAGGCATGGGATAATTGGTGGTCAAGGGATGGGATAATTGGGGGTCAAGGCATGGGATAATTTGTGGTCAAGGGATGGGATAATTGGTGGTCAAGGGATGAGATAATTGGTGGTCAAGGGATGTGATAATTGATGGTAAAGGGATGGAATAATTTTAGGTCAAGGGATGGGATAATTGATGGTGAGTAGATAAAGTAATGTGTAAAAGACACCATGTGGGTTCGCTCCCGGACTTTTTTCTTCTTAAAAAATGGCCTTTGCTGCCAGGTTGACCCCGCGTTGAGTGAGTACCGGGTGCAGTCCCAGGAAGTAAAGACAGCCGGCGTGATGCTGACCACATCACCCATCTTGTGCTGTTTGGTCTATGAAATATAAGGTCTAGGCCTTTATGCCCTATACGCCTAAAGGCGTGGAAAAGAGTCCTTTACTTTTTTTTTGTTTACTTTACTGAAAGACGCCGTCATGTTTAAGACGGCTGCTAATTTTTTAGCCCACAATTTCAACTATGCCTGTGTAGGTTCGTGGGCCCTATTATAGGGAGAACAAGAATAGGCACACTGCCTACCCAAAAGCGTGTCGCAAGAGTCGACTAATTGGCAGCTTCCTTCAAAGTTGGAGTGCATCTGCAGACCAACAGTCTGCATGCAAATGAGTCAGGTCTGTCAAACAGATGCACACGCAACACTCAGGTTCTGAAGCGGGACTGCAATCCAGAGGTGGATGAACAACCAGAAATTTCCTCCAGAGTTTACAGCCGGTGAATACGAAGAAGAAGTCATTCTGTCTATAAGAGGACCTCAAATTTTCTTCTGCTTTGCATTCACCAGCTGTGAGCTCCAGCAGAACGTTCTTGTTGCTCGTCCAGCCTTGGATCCGGCTTATGAGTATGTGCAAACTGCTGGCTGTTTCCTTCTCAGGCAGGTGCTCTTTGCCGTGAAAGGAAACTGCACAAATTTGTCAACTTCTACAAGATGCTTCCTAGGGACGGTGGGCTTGTTCTTTTATTTCCCACAATGGGGGCCCGGAACCCATACAGGGAACCCTTAGTTTTTAAACTTAACAGTTTAGGAAAACATCTTGTCTTATACACGGAACCGTACGGTAGGTGACTTGTTTATTTATGTGGTTTGCACTTGTTGAGATTAGGTGTGTGCTAGGAAATAAGTTGTTTAATCTATTGTTATGCTCTCTTTTTTTTTAAAACTTTGGTTTGTGATTATTCATTAAAAGAAAAATTCTTTGCTTTGATTAAAGTTACCCGAAGTAATCTTTTTTTTCCTTTCTTTCTTTCTTCCGATTTTCAGGCTAAGCAGATGTTGAGAGGCCTTTTTTTAACCAAGTAACACTAGCAGCAGTAACAGAAGGAAAGCAGTAAAAGTACTAGACAGCAGTAACAGTAGCAGACAGCAGTGACAGTACAGGGCAGCAGTGACAGTACAGGGCAGCAGTTCATGTAGTGTTGGTGTTTGAAGATGTCAGTGCCTCAAGCATCGACACAAGAGCTGAAAACACCACACACTGAGGAGATTGATGTGCCTGATGATCCGTGCGAGGATGATGATGATGATCGGAGACTGTGGATTGGGAACCTGGGCACTGAAATAACAGAGTAAGCCGATTTTTTAAAAATAAATCTGTTACAGCTAAATGAGTCTCTTGGTAGGCACAGGTTCCGAAAGCTAACAAAAGTATAACTGCAGTGCAAGACCACTTAAAGGGATCTCAGATGTTTCGATTCCTGTGTGAAGAACGATTTGTTTATCCCTGGCGATTACCATAAGCTTGAAATCTTATCTGACAAGAAGAATTCCTGATGGAAAGAAGTATCTCTTGCGACCTGGCACTGTAGTATATTGTTGCCTTGGAACCACTAGGGCTAAAGATAAACCGAAAGAACACTCACAGAAGAGAATTATGAGCAGATAAAATGAGAGGAAGATATGGAATGAGATGCAGGATATGATGTCTCACCCTGAGGTCTGTACACTAACGGAGGAGAGCAAGGTCATAAGCAGGAAAAAAAAACTTCCTTCAGTGTTTAGCTTAAATTATAGTTACAGCTTGGTCCCCCCTTAAGTTTCACTTCTTGGATCTTTGAAAATCTCTGTACTTCTTGGAGGTAGATGTTTTGTGGGTGGTGCGGATGTTGATCATGTTGGTATGAGTGTAAAACAGTGATGTAATGTAACGATTGCAAACAAATGAAAGAATTCATTGGTCCCCATGTGGGTACCAGGGCCCCATTGTGGAGGAAACAAGAATAGACCCACTGCCCGTCCAAAAGCATGTCGTAAGAGTCGACTAATTGGGAGCTTCCTTCTAAGTCAAAGTACATCTGTCTGAGAGGCAAGGAACTTTTGCATGCAAATGAGTCAGATCTGTAAAACAGATGTGCATGCAACACTCAATTTTTGGAGAAATTATGGGGGTGAATGCAGTCAAGCTAATCCAAGGAGTTCCATTTTTCAATTTTTGGAACAGGACTAGATTCCAGATGTGGACGAACAACCAGAACTTTCAGCGGGAGTTTACAGCCAGTGAACGCAAAGAAGAGAAAGAATGAAGAAAGTAATGCAATAGAGAACTGACATTGCTGCCCTTGGGACATTCCCACACATGCTCCGTCTCCTTCCTCAGTAGCCAGTAAAGAGTCAACAGTACCAGTTGCAGCCTGATTAAAAGTCCACAAATGTTTCCCCATCAGTGTTGAAAATCTTCCAGAATCTCTATTCATTCCCCTCTTTTTCCCCATAGAATTAGTCTTGCAAACACAACTCAGTGATGGTGGAGAGGACGGAATATTTTCAGGACCCGTGAGATAAATAATGTCAGAGCTTTCCAAACTTTTCATCTTGTTGTGGCTGTTAACACTTTACCAGCACTTAATCATCTCAGTGATTGGTTATAGATTGGGGTTACTCACTGTCTGAGTCAGCTACAGAAACTGGAGCGCATACAGAATGAAGTTATATGTGTGTGATCCAGGGTTGTACAAGAGACACCCCGATTGTGTGCATGCGATACATCCTTGCATTGCTGACTTTTGCAGATAGGCTAAAGGTGCTACAGGCTGTCATACAGAGTAGCTGCAGACAAAGAACACCCTCTGTATTTAGCTTTGGCCGCAGACAAGGGTCAGAGGCTGAAAAGCGGGAAAATCGTGGATGGCTCAAGCAGAAGACACAATAATACAAGTATGCATGCTGGAGAAAATTGGGCGAGGAGAGGAGTGGGTCAGAGTACCAGAGGAAAAGTCTGACCTGTGTAGGGTCAAGATGACATTCTGATCTGGATAGCATCAGTGATAAATGTTTTGTGATAGGATTTCCTTTGACACTTTTTTAGGTATTTAATTCTGAAGCTGGTACAGAAATTTGGAGCTCTGCGGAAGATTAACTTCATCTACCACAAGGTGGGGCCAGACAAAGGCAAGCCCAAGGGCTACTGTTTTGTCAGCTTTCATACTTGGGAGGTCAGTCCACTAGATTTTAATGGTCTTGTTTTTATGTCAGGTGCCTAGTCTGGAACAGACATTGGTGATCATGTCCCTTCACAATGCTCTGTTGCCTGATTTGTTTGTTAATTTTCTTCTTCTTCTTTGCGTTCGCTGGTTGTAAACTGCGGCGGTCTATTTGCATGCAGACTGTTGGTTCCTTACCTCTCTCAGGCAGATGTACTCCGACTTCGAAGGAAGCTCCCAATTAGTCGACTCTTATGACATGCTTTTGGGCAGGCAGTGGGTCTATTCTTTTTCCCCATAATGGGGCCCCAGAACTCACACAGGGTTTGTTTATGAAATATATGTAGATATTTCTTTCCCACATGATTAGCTTTTTTTTTTTTTACATGTTTTTGCTGTTCTCCCTCGTCATTATTTCTGTTTTTCACATCTTCCCTCTTCATCATGAATTTAATGTATATTCCTTCTGGCTTTGATAACTGGACAAGTTTATGGAAATAGATGTTGGTAAATGAAGAGGTAGTAAGTACTTTGCTGGAAAAACACAATTGTCACGTTCAGCCAGTAGCATTCTTGAAGAGGAAGCTTTAGGTTATAATTATGACTAGGTTATATGGGCCCTGTAAAATGGCTTAGCATTACTCACCACCAAGAGCCCTGAAAAGGACTCCTGCAGTGTTTATGCCATCAAAGGAGACAGACCCAAATACTGTCCCGACTGGTTACCAGGGTCGCTGATGTGATGATGAGAAAATATTGCAAATACACAGTGGTTCTTCTTAAAGTCCATGCCGTGTGGCATTGGCAGTAGTCATGTCTATCCACAGCATTCTTTCTCATGTTTTTTTTTTAGTCAACTCTGACACTGAGGATCTTCCATGCCATGATGTCAGACTGTCCAGCATCTTGTCTCTGGTCTCCCTCTGCCTCTCCTCCCCTCCACTTTCCTACCGTCAAGATGTACTTCAGTTTCCTCCTTCTCATCACATGACCAAAGAATGTAGATTGTCTCCCCCTGATGTGGGCAATCAGTTCTCTTGATGACTCAGTTTCTTTCAAAACGTCTTCATTACTCTTTTTATCTGTCCAGGATATTCTCATTATTCGTCTGTAGAACCACATTTCCGCAGCTTCCAAATAAGTTTTCACTAATTCACCAACCGTCCATGATTCACTTGCTTGTATCAAGATATGCATGGATGTACACAGTGATACACATTGTCATTTACCTATGCAGCCTGGGGTAAACTGAAAGTTGTCTCTGAGCTTGTGTGTTTTTTTACAGGCTGCAGAGAAGGCCAGGAAAGCCCTGGATGGTCGAGTTGTCGTGTCCCGCAGGCTCTTTGTCAAATGGGCCAACAAATTAAAAAAGGTTTGTTTAAACTATTTTTTCACTCTAAACTGGATCTTTTTTCATATCAAACCAAATAATTTTCATACGCCTGGGACAATTTTCAGATTGAACTGGATGATTTTTAAGCAACCCTTGATGTTTGTCAAAACAAACTAGATGTTTTTCAAACACTTGTATATGTCAGTAATTAACATAGGTGAAAACAAAGGCTAGTCAAGGGTGTTGTGTTCATTGTTATGCTGGCTGCCTTTACCTTCTGGGAAATTTTCTAGTTCCAGCTTGAGGCTGGGTGCCCAGGTTAAAAAAAAAATTCAATGTTGATGAGGGTTTGACCACGTAATCACTAGGCCAGCATGCCGTCAGGCTAGCCAGTGCAGTACTCTAGCGCTCTCTCTCTTGATTGTGTAACTGAGGACATAAGCTTGGTAAAGCACATATGTGCTGTCTCGAGGTCGAAACAGGAGATACTATAACCCCCCTCTTCATGGGAACAATCAGGAGAGGTACCTTGGGGTTGCTGCTGCATCAGAGGAGTCAGAACGCATGGAAATGCCCAGATTATGATAACATAACGTAGCTATCTCACTCACAAAAACATTTGAATAATGAAATATGATACATGCACGGCACACATAATTCATTTACTGGGGGCTGTGTGGTCTCAATGCATGGTGTCCGCTTCGAGTGCTAGAGGTTCCGGGTTCTATTCCCGGTAAGGGCTGGGATTTTTTCACGTGGACTTGGACTTCTAGTAATTCCCCCTCGTCTCAGGGTAGTGAGATCAGACGCTCGTGTGCATTGTTGCACACGTAAAAAAAAAATCCTTTGGCAGTTGGAAATCGAAAAGAGTAGCCTAACGGCGCTGCCTTGGCAAAATTTGGAGTTGAAAATCTACCCAAAGTAATTTCAGGATCCTCACTGGTGCTACAGGGCTTGTGCACTGTGTTGAGCTTCTTCGGACTCAGACTTGAGTTAGAAGAAGAACAGAGCACTTATGGGTTATACTCGTGTGGCCATGATGTTGATCCCTTGGTCAAAACCTTAAACCTCATAATTCATTTACACAGGCTGAGGATGAGAAAATGTTATTTGAGAGTGATTGTCCTTATTTGATTTAATTTTCCTCTTGTGCCACACAGGGTTTGCAGTCTATGTCCCCATTCCGTTCTATTCTGTTATTTATTTTATTTTGTGAAATCACTTCAGTTATCAAGATTGGAATCTCCCCATGTGGGTTCTGGGGCCCTGTTATAGGGAAAACAAGAACAGACCCACTGCATACCCAAAAGTATGTCGTAAGAGTCGACTAATTAGGAGCTTCTTTCGAAGTCGGAGTGCATCAGCCTGAAAGACAAGGAACCAACAGTCTGCACACAAATGAGTCAGATATGTCAAACAGATGCACCCGCAGCACTCAGGTTCTGAAACAGAACTGCAGTCCAGAAGTGGATGAATAACAAGAACTTTCCGCCTGGAGTTTACAGCCAGTGAACATGAAGAAGAAGAAGAATGGAATCTAGTCTAGCATCTTTCGCTTCTCTGATCAGCTTTCGCTTTAAAGTCTTCTCTTGGACGTCCTCATTTCCTCCATCCCCTTGTCTCCCATTTCAGTGTCTGTTTGATGATTCTCTGTTGGTCTCTCTCCAGAATGTGTCCAGTATCGCACCATCTCCTCTGTCTCATAATTGTTGATGCCATTGATGCCCGGACGTTTCTCTTACTTCTTATGACCGTCTTGAATTCATTTCCTTTTGTGTTCATCATTTTCCTCACTTTCATTATCAAGTGCCTTGCCAACTGGCGTAGGGGTTCATGCGTCACCACAGATCTTGGTCTTTGGTGTTCAGGATTAATTCCACTGATGATTTTTTCCTCCATACCACTGTCTCAAACCATCCACCATCATTTCTCTTGGTCTGCTCTGCCTCTTCTACCAAAGATCGTTCCAGTCATCATGATATTTTCTAGTGCTCCTTTTCTCATCACATGACCAAAGAACTTTGTTTGTTTCCTTCTCATTGTATATAATGTTCTACTTTCATTAGCCATTTAGAGGCATCAGTGTTGGTTTTTCATTTTCCTCAGCCATTTGTTTTCAAATGCATTCAACTTTTCTTCCACATGCTTAGTGGTTCTGCAAGTTTTGCTGACATGCATTGATTCTTGGACCATGAAAAAAACAGTACATGTAAATCATCCTCTTCTTAGTGCTTCAAGGCAGTAGACTCCAACATAAAGTTCTTTGCTCTTGTTTCAGAACTTGAGTTTTGTGTGCACAGCTGTTTTACAGATGTAGCTTATTTGTATATTTTAGTCTATTCTTGTTTTCCCCAAAATGGGGCCCCGGAACCCATATGGAGAGTACATGCTTATATTTGGGTATTTTTTCTTACAGGATGATGTCATTATGAAAAAACCCAAAGTGAAATCTGCATCAGGTGGTTCTTCAGAGGTGACCTCAGATGCAGCACCACCACCTGCTGTAGTGGCAGCATTATCAGCTTCCTCAGCAGTAGCAGCATCTAGGTTTGCTTCTTTTTCTTGCTCTTGACTATTACATTACATTACTTGGAAGGGGGGTTCTAGTGGTATCTGCATTTGTTTGTCAAGACAGAGATCCTCCTTCTCCTCTTCCTCCATCTTCTTCTACTTCTTTTCCACCTCTTTCTCCTACTTTTTCTTCCTTGTTATGGTGGGCTGAGTTATCCTTGTTTCCTTTTCTGTAGATTTGGTTACTTGCAAATTTTTTATTTAACAGGGTTGGATAGTCCAGGATCACTTTCTCTTGCCGTGACGCTGCTGTTGTGTACCTTTTTGTACTTAAAGGAATTAGTTTTATTTTTGTGCCAGAACACTGGGGTAAGAGAGAATGAACAAGCGGATTGGATTGATGGGCTATGGTAGGTACAGGAAAAGCAATGGACCTGACCGACATTCTCAGTACTGTCAGGGAGGTAGGACAATAAAATGATTCAGGAGACCATGTTAAAACATTCAAAAGATTACAAGAACTTCAGGTCAAAAAAGGCGTCGCCAAAAATGAATACTATACAGTTAGCCAAAGAAGAATAGTAAACCAACACAGAACTGAGGGATATACTGAAGATGGAATCCAAGTGCTTATGGACTTGTCCGTTGTGCAGTAAAGATAATCTGTCGATGAACTAACTAATCTTTTTTTTTAAGGGCCCTGATAACACACAGACACTAGCAACTCGCACCTCAACTGTATTTAGCTCTTTTGCAGTCAGGTGTCATCTTCACAGTTGTTTGCAGACTAGGCTATCAGTCAGGTGTCATCTTCACAGTTAAATTTGCAGACTAGGCTATCAGTCAGGTGTCATCTTCACAGTTCAGTTTGCAGACTAGGCTATCAGTCAGGTGTCATCTTCACAGTTCAGTTTGCAGACTAGGCTATCAGTCAGGTGTCATCTTCGCAGTTCAGTTTGCAGACTAGGCTATCAGTCAGGTGTCATCTTCACAGTTTAGTTTGCAGACTAGGCTATCAGTCAGGTGTCATATTCACAGTTCAGTTTGCAGACTAGGCTATCAGTCAGGTGTCATCTTCACAGTTCAGTTTGCAGACTAGGCTATCAGTCAGGTGTCATCTTCACAGTTCAGGCGAAAATTTTTTGCAGTAGGTGACATCTTCACAGCTAGGCTATCAGTCAGGTGTCATCTTCACAGTCAGTTTGCAGACTAGGCTATCAGGCAGGTGTCATCTTCACAGTTAAATTTGCAGACTAGGCTATCAGGCAGGTGTCATCTTCACAGTTCAGTTTGCAGACTAGGCTATCAGTCAGGTGTCACCTTCACAGTTCAGTTTGCAGACTAGGCTATCAGTCAGGTGTCATCTTCACAGTTTAGTTTGCAGACTAGGCTATCAGTCAGGTGTCATCTTCACAGTTCAGTTTGCAGACTAGGCTATCAGTCAGGTGTCATCTTCACAGTTTAGTTTGCAGACTAGGCTATCAGTCAGGTGTCATCTTCACAGTTTAGTTTGCAGACTAGGCTATCAGTCAGGTGTCATCTTCACAGTTCAGTTTGCAGACTAGGCTATCAGTCAGGTGTCATCTTCACAGTTCAGTTTGCAGACTAGGCTATCAGTCAGGTGTCATCTTCACAGTTTAGTTTGCAGACTAGGCTATCAGTCAGGTGTCATCTTCACAGTTCAGTTTGCAGACTAGGCTATCAGTCAGATGTCATCTTCGCAGTTCAGTTTGCAGACTAGGCTCTCAGCAGTTTTATTTTAAGGGTAACAGACATGTATGTGACCACTCTTACTTTCATTATGTCATTTATTTCATGTCTCTTGTTCTTCTTCTTAGTAATCTTGGTAATGTTAGCTTCAGCTTCATAGCAAACGGGTCACCTCATAGTTGCTCCGCTCCTGTGCCAGCGAAAAACACACAGAATGTTCATCACAGTCCCTTGTGGAAAGATTGACAGACTGCTGTCTTAGCATATGCACTAGCATACACACGCATTAAAAGCATACGGTAGCCATCAGAAATGCTAACACAAATAGTCCGACATTACGAATGCAGTTCAACATCGACTGTAGCAGATGTAACCAACAAATCAGCAGTTGCACACGCAATCAATTTTAATCACACAAGGGCATTACCAATTTTGCGATGACAGGCCACGCACCATTTTCTGAATCTACAATTCATAACACCACGTTGGTCACAGTTGATAAACATTCCAAATGAAATCAGCAGCTCACAGTGTCGCACCATGCACTCAACTCAGCAGCTGGGTGACGAAACTATACGTCTACAGATGGAGCAAAAATGCAACGACCACCGTCTGGCAGAAGCAAAAAATGTGCCACGACTCAAAAGAGCGGCCATGCCTAGCATCCATTTTGAACGGATTGAAGATGCATCTTCTTAGTGTTCTCCAGCTGTAAACTCCAGCAGACAATTCTGGTTGTTCGTCCACTTCTGGACTTTAGTCTTGTTCCAGAACTTGAGTTTTCTGCGTACGTCTATTTCACAGATCTGGCTTATTTG